ATAAACTTAATATAAAGAAAAAATTTCAATTTTTACTATGTTTTATTAATAAAATTGATCTCTGATTGCAAACTTTTTGTTTATCGAGTATATATAATTATTTTTATTTATTTTTTTGTTTTTATTTTTTTATTTTTTATTATTTTATTTTTATATGTATTTATATTTTATATTTATATTTTAATCAATTACAAACTTCATGCTCAAACAAAGTAAAATAATATTAACTAATTAGAATTTATATAACAAAATTATTATAAAAAATATTAATATTTACCTTATAAAATAATAAAACAAAGTTTTTAATAATATTATATAAAAATCTATACTTATCTTTATTTATTATTTATTTGTTTTTTTTTTAGTTAATATATTTATCTTTTATATTTTTTTCTTGTTTTTAAATTATTATATTTATATTTTATTTTACACTCTTAATTATATATTTTAAAACTTGTATATAAATAAGTTTAAATTATATTAAGCTTATTAAAATATTATTATTAAAATTATTAAATAAATATTTTTGTTATTAATTAATTATTTAATATTTTTATTATAATCAAATTATTAAATTTTTTATTTGTCAAAACTACAATATAATATTTCTTGTTTGTAAAAAAACAAAATAAAAATGTTTTTGTTATTTTTAATATACTATATATTTAACTCTAAAATATTTAATATTAATATAAAAAATTAAAATATTATATTATCTTCTTTTTTCTTTATTTAATTTTATTCTTTTATATATTTTTTCAAATTATAATAATTTTAATAAAAATTAATATAGAACTTAGATATATTTTTTTATTATTTGTTTTTTTGTTTAATTTTTTTTTAATTCTTGTTTATATTTATTAATTAATTTCATAATTAATGAAAAGTATAATAATATTAAAATTTATTAATAATTTTTTTATATAAAATTTGTAATTTTACGAATTAATATAAAAATAAATATAATAACTAACAAAATTATAAATAAAATATAAAATTGAAATTTTTGTTTTATATAAATATTTTTTATTTTTATGTTAAAAATTCTTTCAACTTTTTAACTAAAAAGTAAATTCTCAATTTAACTAGTAATATTATTTAAAAAATTGCTTTTCTATAATATTATTGATTAAATTTTAAATTTATTTCTTAGTTAAAAAGTTGAAAGAATTTTTAACATGAAATATATTATTAATTTAAAAGTTGTTATATTATAAAAATAAAAAATATTTATATAAGACAAAAATTTTAATTTTTATTATATTTTATTAATAAAATTACATACATAATTCCATAATTTTGTTAGTCATTATAAATATATAATTGAAATAAAATTTTCATAAAAATTCTCTTTGTAATTGCACCTTAATAAAAATATCTTTTATATAATGTATAATATTTAAAATTATCAAACATTTGTATTTTATAAATGGATACACTTCTTTACTAAAAAGTAAATACAAAATTTAATTTGTAAATATAATAAAATAGGCTCTTTCTGAGCATATTCACAAATTAAATTTTATATTTACTTCTTAATAAAGAAGTTTATCCATTTTGAAATACAAATGTTTGATGATTTTAGATGTTATGCATCATAATAGAAAAAGTATTTCAATAATATAACTTTATTATATTTAGTTTGATATCAATATTAATATTTAAGCCGAAAATATTTGGAATTTGATATTTATTGTTTCTATATTTCTTTGAAAACTAAAATCTACAAAACTTTGTTTTCAATTAGTAAATTTTGATACTAAACAATTTTTGGAAAAATCTTTATCCTATTAAATCCACGAGTCTTCAAAGTAAATCTATATGAATTCGGAATTAGACTTGGGACGAGGGTTAGTGCTGGGAGATAAGATTAGTGTTGGTTGATAGGATTTTAAATCCGTTCTCATGTACAACACATAATTAAATATGAAGAGGAACAAAATAAGACACGGAAAAACTATAGTGAATGCATGAACGTACATCGATATTTCCGTCTTCGTTTTTAATTTCTTTCGAACATTAATTATTCTCATCACCTCATTTTTGTTAGTATGAAAAATCAAAAGTTCGTGTTTGTAAAAATGATAAATAACGATAAAATCGTTATTTTTATTTTTGTTGGGAAAGCGATTCGAACGACTCGATCGATCATTTACAAAATAACAAAAATACTAATTCTTTATATAAAAATGTATCTGCTTCATACTCGACTAACGGGGATTTAGCTCAGTGGTAGAGCAATTGACTGCAGATCAATAGGTCACCGGTTCAATCCCGGTAGTCCCCTTTATTTGATTTCGGCTATCGCGTCAACTTTACGAAAGCTTTTTTTTGCACAATTCTTCGAATTGATCATCCTCATAATGCACGTGACAATTTAACTAATCGATGAATCAAAATCTCTCATTGTCACGAAAAAAATGTCTTTTCGGCTTCCATTTACGAAGCTTGCTCACCATCCCACCAAAAATCTCTTGATCCTCTGTTTTGGCAGTCATTTTCAGGCAATAGATACCAGGTACGTTTTTCTTTGCTTTCAGATATTACCTTATGTTTATTAAAAAATAAAAATTGTTCTTAAAAGTACCGGAGTATTGTTGGCAACAACACAATCGTCATTCACTTCAATAAAAACTACTACGAATATTTCTACACCCTCAACAACCGGACCAGCGGAAGCAGTAAACTTACTTCCTAGACCTAAACATGTTTTGTCCAGTGAGGAAGCACACACAGAGCTTATTCGTAGTATCGCGTTTAACGCGCAAGGTACCTGTATGGCTTCAACTAGCGAGAATAAAGTTTTAAAAATTTGGGATTTGGAAGAGAAGCAATGGAAACTTAAAAACTCCAGGTAACCCAAAAATTGAAAACATCAATAAATAATTAAATAAATGCAAAACCATTTTATCAGTAATCGTCGTCGATTTTGTTGTAGAAAAGATCAGTCGTGAAACGTGTGGTTTCTCTTGTTTTTGATCAGACAGGCTCCAAGATTATAGTGGCCGATAAATTTGGTGACGTTTACAGGTGAATTTAAATCTAACGTTATTTGAATGTCATTTATATTTTTTCAATGTTTTTTTAATTGGTTGTTTTGTTTGTTGGGAAGAGAAGCTTTCCTATAGATTTACCCGAGAATAATGGCAAAACATCTTCACAGTTACTCTTGGGACATGTTTCAATGATTACTGATATGGTCGGATTACATTATTATTTGGTTTATTCTGCATTGAGAATTTAAATCTGATTTTTATTATATATATATATAGACGCTTACACCACTCAATAAATACATAATAACATGTGACCGTGATGAACATATACGCGTCAGTCGATACCCAAACGCATATAACATTGAATCATTTTGTTTGGGACATACACAGTAAAGTGTTTTCATTTTTGAACAAATGAGTATAAAAATAATATCATAATTAAATATTTATAATTTCTTTAGTTTTGTCTCAAAACTACATATAATTCCATGGGCAGCCGATTTTCTAATATCAGGTGGTGGAGATGACTTTGTCGCATTATGGGATTATGTCCATGGCACTCTGTTACAAACTTTGGATGTTAAACAATTTGTTGATTCACAACAAGAGGTACATATGATTGCTAATTATCTGCAAAAACGATACTAAAGAAAAAGTTTATTCTTTTAAAGAGTGAATCAATAACTGCGGATAAATCTAGATCAGAAGAAGCTAGTGAGGAAGGAATCGCGATTTCAGCGATCACCAGTAGCGCAGTATCACAACATATTGCTTTGATAATAGAAAAGTTAAGAGTGTTCTTGTATTTTGGTCTTTGTGAATATTATTTTTTGCTATTCTGACACTTATTTTTTTCTATTCTGACACTTATTTTTTTACAAGCAAAGATTCCCCGGAATAATAATTTTAAGATGGGAAGCAGATCAAAGTCGCGTCGTTTACCATAATACACTAGAATTAGAAAGTGATCCCCTAGATATTGCATATGACCTTTTTGGTAATTTGTGGGTATCGATTACAACCTCGGAGGATGAGAAAGAAAAAGAGCGACCAACATTTTTGGTAAATTTGTTCAGACAAGCTGTTAATGATAAGGTAAAATTATTATTTTTGAATACATGGGTTTATTTTATCTATGACTGCTGATGTATCCAATATTTATCACGAATTTGTTTAGTATGATAAAGCGGCAAATGATGATCCATTAGTAAAAGAAATTAATCAATATGGATCGATGCTAGGTAACGAAGAAAATAGTAACCCTATGTGGCGTTTAGTATATTTTTTCTTGTATTTGTATACTATTAACCATCATCGTTATATATAAAAGTTGACACTTTACCGGACTTGTATCCTATTGGTCAACTTCGTAAAGCGGGGACTGATTGGCGCGTTCAACGTAATCAAGATGAAGATTACGATGATGTTGCGCGCAGTTTGGAAGGTGAACTTGCTTCCTCATCAGATGTGAACAAGTCTAAACGAAAGAAAGTTAAGACAAAATAATTTTGACTAATATTTTGCACAAATCATGTGATATCTTTTGAACCAAATAATCATGTGATTTTTCAACAATGAATATTATCACGCGATTTTCAATACTCGTAGCAGCTATATTTCAACTTTCTTTTATTAGAAATAATCATTTTGGTTAAATTTCTCCTGAAAAAATTTTTAAATAGTATTTGTCCTCCAAAATGCTGTGTATTCTGACTTTAATGGCATGTATCAACTTTTTGGGGGGTATTTGCAGATCTAGGAACATCTTTAGGAAAAACCAGCCAGAACTTATTTCAAAGAATAACTTAAAACTTTTCGCAATATTGCCTCTACTCCGAGTTTTATGGTTTCAAAGTCGGGTCTGGTTTAGAGTTCCCGCACCATACAAATCAATTTCAGACGGAAATTATTGCAACTATCACATACAAATTGCATTTTTCAAAGATAAATATAAAATGTGATGTTATTGTGTAACATTGCTTTATATATAACACATTTATTTATACAACACATTTATCTCTGCGTTATGCTTACAAAGAGATGTTAAAAAGTCTTAGCATACACACATGTGTGATATAATTTATTTATTAATTAATGATGAAATTTATTTTTAGTAACATAAAGATGTTTTCTTCAATTCGATTTGAATTTTCTTTTAGAACAATATTATGTCATACATCATTACACAATGAAAAATTTCAATAGAACGACCTAGAAACATGATCGATGAAAATAATAAACACAGGGTCCAATGTAACAAACACGATCATTATTATTATCTACATAAGGATTTGTGCAAGTCAACAGCAAAACATTTATCGACACCGTAACAGTTAAATTTGTTTATGTTTCTGAAAAAGGCAAACACCAATATTTTCAATAGTAATAGTTACGATGTTCAAATAAACCCTTCTTGGCGAAACGTGATTGGTTTAATTGCGTTCCATTAAATTAATTCTGTTTATAGCAAAATCGAAAATCTTTTTTTAATTACAAATACATGTACACTGATCGCTTAATATTGTTCTGAAACAGTTCATTATTCTTTAAAAGCGTGGAAGGCCTGTGCGACGCTTTACTTCTAAATTAAGAAATTATAATCATTACTTTCCTCCGAATAAGGGTTCTATGTGACAGTGAAGTAGTTAGTTGGCTGTGAAAATCTTAAATTGTTCATTTGCACAACATGAATGAAATAAGGCGATTTATAGTAAAGATTGTCACGTTTTTTAAGCCCATCAGTTTTGTTCACGCAAATGTCTTATTGTTATTATATTTATTTATTTATTAACTATACAATTATTAATTAAACCAAATAAAGCATAAACCAACTAAAAAAATACTTCTATACAAAACATATTGTTTTTATTGTACTTATTATTTGTTGAAAGCTGTAAAATATTTTGGGTTTAGAAGGGAAAATCAATAATACTATTGAACAATATTGAAACCTCTAATTTTTGTAATCTACATTAGAATTATGTATTAATTATTATTAGTATTATTTTGATAAAAATTATGATTAGTATTAATTATTAGTAAACAGAAGAATATACAACTCTAATTGGAATTCTCTTTTTGTTTGAATATGGATGAAATGATTGTTTATTGAGTAGATTTTTGATTGTTCTTTGCGAAGTTTTTATAAGTTTGAATGCGGAATTCGGCGATGGTATTTGCTGTGGAGAGAGAGGCGAAATTGGACTTGGAAGAGACTCATAATGCTGATTGCTCATTGTGGGTGATGTTGGGCTAACAATTTCCTCGTTTAATTTAAAAACAGAAAATCCACCCATGGGGGAATAACCTCCATGATTTTTACTTTTATCATCAGGCATAAAGAACTGTGGCAAACTTGTAGGTCGTCGCCAAAGTTGCTCTTCAATTGAAATACCATTTCTTAGCACTGCCGCTTTGTTTCCAGATGCGCGTACCATATCATCATGCACAAGTTCCGAAACACCGGCCAACACCGAAAAGAAATAGCGAACTTCCTTTGTCTCGTTTCGCCAACGCTCGCCAGCAAATCGTGAAATATCAATAAAATCCACTTTCGGGTTCGTTCTCTGAATTATATTCTGTGCCTCCTTTCTATACAAAATATATGCATTTTGCGGGGTCTTAATCGGCTTTTGCAGATTAGGATTTTTCGTGGGAGCCAGAATTTTGTTTAGTGGAAGTGACAAAGGAGGAATTGAAATCTTTTTATCGATAATTTCACTTTGTATTCTTGCTGCTATGCATTTTGCCCATGTATCTGCCCATGCCCAAGGATTTTCTTGTTGGTGATTATGGTGTTGGTGTTTTTGAGTCGTGTTAGTCATTGAATCTTGTTTTTTTTTTATTTTTTTAAACTTTATTTTTTATTTCTTGTACTTAGATTAACTTTATTTTTTATGTTATTATTATTATTATCGACGAATTTCGTTTTTTCTTTAATAAAGAAAATTATTTCGAAATTATCTCAGGACTACGTTTATATGCCTTTTGATGTTTCTATTAATAAACCAGGTAGGACAAGAAACCAGAACTATTATTGTATCGACGAAAAAGGTATTGGTGCAGAAAATTTATTCCCTTTTCAAAATGTCAATGACGTTTTGTATTACAAAACCCTGATAAATTTATTGGTTCAACGGCGGCGAGGAAAAAGTGATAATTCCATTGCCATTAATTACCGTTGTTCATGTATGCGTGTGCATTAATGTCCAATCGCCTAAAACTATAACCTATCCTCGCACGCATACATTGTCTGTTTGTTTGCTCTTCTGTTCTCAGAATGTACAAATTGTAATCAAAAATTCCATGAATTCTCTCACCTATTACATTGGTGCATTATTGGAAATTATAGTAAACAATAAGATTCGGATTGTATGGATATGAAGAGAATGACATTCTTTTCAGGTAAAAAAGAACGATATTTCATTAATCTGATACCATCGAGTAAGATCAAACAAGATAAAACCATTGTTTGATTGTATCTCCAAAATATACACAATGAACTGCCGTTATATTCTAATAATGGGTAATGGGCAAAGGGGTTAAGTTTCGAAACGAATCCTTAATTTCAAAGTTTTGGCCCAGATTATCATTATCTTGGTTTGAAACAGAACCTAAACCTGAACTTGACTAATTAAACCGGCGAGAACGTGTAAGCGCACAAATTTCATGAATTTTTATTGCGCCTATTCCTGCTATTCCTGTGTGACAAATAGTCGCTATATTTCTGTTTTTCAAAAAATATAAATTATGGCGCTTTGCCCGAATATAAGGAGAAAATATTGTCGGCAAAGAAACCAACTTTCCAATTGATGTAACTGTAGCCACTGTATTGAAGAGCCACATTCATATTCTCGGAATTTGGATTCTGGGATGTAGAACATTAAAAATCACCGATAACCAAATGGCGTAACCGGTTGCCATAAAACTTGTCTCAAATATAGTAAATCATGGATGATATGCTCTTGGCGAAATATTTATAGGTGTACACAAAAATTTTAATTGTATTCCACAACTCTTACAATGGCATTATACATTGATGCTGTGCACTATTAAATCCACAATGATTAGCGAGCAGTAGCTACAAAATGATCTCGCCTTAATTTTAAGGAGTCAAAGGGGGAGAGACTATTTGTTTTATCGACGACGTAATCTCTCTAATTTATTTTCAATAAAATTGATTTGTTAAAAGATTCTGTAACTTAAAGAACCAGTAAGCAAGCATAAATTATCAGACGATGTTTGAAAATCAACCAAAAGTTTCTGCATTTGAACATCCCAAATAAATATTGTTTTATATGCGTGGAAATTAAAAATTAGTGTAGCATCTTATAATTCATTTATTAAAAAATAGCCAAATTTTATTGGCATAAATCCTAAAGTTTGATAATTTTGTCTAAAAATACATATAAATATGGATTGAATAATATAATATTATGTAGTATAAAATAATAAAACGCTATTGTCAATAATTTTTTTACAGATTTTTTCCAAAGTTTTATCAGAATAAAAAGTTTGATCTTATAGTCGATTAAGTATTAGTGAAGTAGATGGCAAGCGAGATGGTGACGGTATAGTTTCTTTGCTCGATGAACAACACTGAGAACAGAACACAACTCTTATTGGTGCCGTTCGCTTTTGGTTAATATATGGATATGTTGTCCGTATCCTGTAAGACTTTTTTGAGAACGGAGTTTTTTGTATAACATGGAATGCCGAGCGAGTCGATGGTATTATCATTGGTGATGATTCAACAACATGTTTTGAATAATTGAGACCATTTATTTGTAATAATGAAGCATTCATTTTTTCTTGTATGTCTTGGATTGAGAATGCTCGAAAGAGACAGTTGACAAATTCCAACATTTCTTCTTCTTGTGGTTGTTTTTGATGATGTATTTGATCTTTAAGGTGTGGAGTTATTGTGCTGTATGTTTTCATTTTTATTATTATTATTATTATTGGCTGGTTTTCTCTTATTAACTATTTTGTATTCTTTATATAAGTGATTGGAATGTTGTAACGTGACTTTTATGAGACAAAGAAAATTCCAATAATAGAGCAAGTTACTCGAACGAATCTCAAATCGTACCTATTAATAACAATAAGGAAAATATCGAACTTTATCGCAATTACTACGTTGATTGCGCGATTGGTTTTAAAAAATTGATTATTTTAGAACTTTAATGAACTTTGATTATTTTAGAACTTTAATGAACTTTGATTATTTATCAATGTCAATTTTTTTTTGCGTAAGATGTGTTTTTTTATGTGTATGTACAAGTAAAAATATCGTGCGCCAACCAGCTGACCATACGCGCTCAACAGATCGGGCTTTTATTTGTAATTAACCTTTATTGGAACCCATTATACGAGCTGTTTAGCCATCGAAAGAATTTTTATGTCATTCAAAATTTTTGTTGTTTCAGAGTCCTGTATTTATATGCACGAAAATCACATACTTTCGGATTTGTTGCCTGCGTAATTGTTTAGATCGACCAACCCTTGTAAGATCCTCGTTTCGAAAATCTGGTTCCGGTATAAATGCAATGCGGGTCATTGAATAGTTGATTGACAGGGTCTTGTTTGCGTAAATGGGAAAGAAGGGTTGATTTTATCACATATCATTCGTTTTTATTGTTTATTTTTACGCAGGAAAAAGATACAAACCAATCTTCCACATTTCCCCCTTTTTTGAGGTGGTCAATACGATTATGTTTTATGGATCAAAGGAGGATGGAAGTTTGAAATAATCCTGTTTTTAATTCGTGATTTTCAAATGAGGTCAATCCGCGTGTCGTTTCATTCTCTATAAGCCATTCATTCATCAAGTTAGATATCAAGATAACATCATTAATATAGAAAAGACCTGGTTACCCAAATGAAGACACTGTTTCCTTTCTTTTTTTCTTCGAGTCTTCACGAACCAAATTACAATTTCATGCCAGGTGTTGTATCGATAAGATGCAAGATCTTTCTATTTTTTTACGCCATTGTGCATTTCTATCACAAACAAACTCTCTTTAGGTGTATACTCTTTTTTGATTTTCGGTTTTTTCCCTTCATTTTTTCGGAGTATCGCCTGTCGGGTCATGGGATAGAAATTCCAAATACAGGTTCTTTGATTTCTATCAGATATGCGTTGCATAAGGTTTTTCGGAAAAGACGTACATGACGATTTTCAAAAAGGCAAAGAGTAATTGAGAGCCCTTTCACATATTTGAATAAAAATGTGATGTTCATGCTTAAAAGATTCCAAGCGAATTTTTCTGACGTAATTTTCTCTTTTGAGGAATATGCTTAGCGTATTTCATTTTGCTACAGTGAATCTAACTAATTATACACATAACGTAATAAGCGCAATCCACTTCACTTTCTGATTCTTCTGTTTGTTTATTATTTAAAAGAAAGCGCTTTATCGTTATCGTTAAAAAAATACCAAAAAACTAGTTTGCAAACAAGTTTTAAATGAATTAACTAACAATTATGCAATAGAAAAAAGACTATCAAAATTACCTGTTCATGTCAAATATAATTTATTTCTCACGTAAACAATGCTTATTTTTGCGAAGCAGTTCCTGAGACGAAGGAAGAACGAGTCAGAACGAATAGATCAGGGATCGCGAGCATTAAACATCTATTTCTTCACATGAAATGTTCAAGCGAACTTTGACAAAATCGTTATGGGCGTTGCTATGCATGTTGATAGAATTTTCTTGACTGCTTATCGCGGGATTTGTATAAACCCTCGGATTACGATAAATATGAAATCACGTAGATATCAGAATTGGAGATTGAGATTTTTTACAAAAATGCAACTTTGATTTCATGTTTTTATTATCACCCTTGTTAAGAAATGCTTTCCTAATACATAATACAGTTGACTCGAACTTGTGTTAAGTCAGATCAGATTTGTCTGTCATTGTGAATGAAATTTCCAATTTAAATTTCTGTAATCTGGCAAAGCATAATATAGGCCTTAACAATAAAACGGATATTTTTGCCTTCGATCTTTACACAATGCTGGCCGAAATAATAAATATATTAAATTTACAGCTTGATGGCGAGATTACCTATAATCATATTATAGTTATCTCTATAATATATCACTCACCTGTTGAACCAGTAATTGACATTAAAACTTTTTAATGTTAACCTTGATTTTGATACTATATAGACATGCCTCAACTAATTTAGAATTTGAATGATAATAAAGACAGACGTTTCATTTTCAGAACTCTTTGAACAAATTAATTCTGTTTTGGTTTATAGACTTGGGAAAATTACAGATGTAGTCATTCCAATTGTTTTCATATGTTGAATAGATTTACTAAAAAAAGAAATATCTCGATGTGTATCAGACAAAGAAACATATTAAAAATAGTTAGAACCACTGTTTGGCAAGTATATTTGGAATTCTATGGGTTCGGGAATACCCAAGTAGGAATAAAATTTTAAACTGCAATAGAATCTAATCCCATAATCCACTTT